ATTAAATTTAGAGTTCCACATCTTTCCCTAGATTTTTTGTGGTATGCATCAGAAACTTCTCTATCAATACTGCTTTCCTTTCTTAAGATATATATTCTTCAGTCAGGAATTTCTGGTTCATAATGTGTCCTATTTGTGATCTAATACATTAAGGCTGTGCTTCAGATAGGTCTCTTCAGTTTTGTGATAAATTGGACAGTTAGAGAACACTGAAACTACTTTCTTCTGTGGCTTTGTGTAGCATGTGACCCAACCACTCTCAATGGAACTGCCTGTGCATGCTGATTTGACCCAAGACCAGTAAATAACTAGGTACTCACTTATAGGAAAGAATCAAGGAAAAGAGAAAACCAGAAAATGTGCGCTGTTGTTGCTCTAGTGTCTTGAAGCCTAAGCAGACAGAGTTTTACTGTCAAGCATTACTTCTGGAAAGCAAAGTAGCTCTAACCTCTGCACACATCTGAGCAGGTAATGAAGCTGATGGTTTTGCAAAATACAAAAGTTATGTCTGCAAGCAGGTACATTTCAGTTTCACACATGGAATAGGGCTTAAGCCAATGATTTAATTATGTAATGTATTTGTTCAGTGCTCGCAAGCAGTGTTAATTTTTCTACACAATGACTCAAGGTGATTAGACTTTGTCTCTATGTTCCTCCTGCTCCTTCCCCCAAAAGGCCCAGTATTATCGTTGGAGATGCAATAAAGTGGTATTTTGCATATAAAAATACTGAAATTCGTTATTTTTTGACAACTGTTACAAACAGATTTGCAGAAAATGTTTAATTCTGGTTTCCAGTATAAGACTAAAGGAAGAATGGAACTAGATTGAACAAAAAGCATCAAGAAACAAAACAACTCATACATTTAGTAGTAGCCCCTTCTCTTAAAATGCTGCATTTTATTCACAGCCATCCCTCAGTTCCCCCTACTGGAAATTTCTCCTTGGAATGCTCTTACTTGGAGATATGAGTAAGCCTTTGTGTCAAATGTATACAACCAACTGCTATGTTGGTTTTGTTTTCTTTTAAAACACAAGAGTCATTTTAAAAAGGTCTGGAGTGAACAAAAGTGCATTATTCCCAATGGGCAAAATTCATGTGGAGATCCAATGTGCAAAAAGGGGCACGCTAAAACTTCACCAGCCTGTGACAAAACTCAGGTATCTTTTCTGGGAGAATGTTTGCTCCAAAATGGCCAAGTTTGTGTACAAGTTGTGTTTTCTGTTGTTTTGATTCTAACTGTACAGTCTGTGAAGACAAAACAGGGTTGTATTTAGGAAATAGTTGGTTTTATCAGTCACTTCTCCTAATATAAATAACCAACCCACAAGGCTCCAGATATTGATTTATTACTTAGATTAGAAATGCTATGATTATGCCATCCTGATTTGCTGATACGAGAAATGAGGTGAGAAGCTCTTTACTCTTTCCAAGCTTGCACTGAATCCTGGGTGGAAAACAGACCTTCTAGGCCTTGGCTTCAGCCTCTCCTCAAGATCCCTTTCTCTTCTTTTGACCTCTGTAATAAGGCTGAAAATCAGCATCAGTACAGAGTGACTTCACTGTCTGGGAAGTGCTGTTACACTCATCACATCCCACAGAGATCTGTGGTGAGTGTTTCTTACTGGAAATATACAAAGGATTTGCAACATTAGAGACAATGAAAATCCTTTCAGTCAGATTTGGTTTTGAGGTTACTGTGAGATTTTGTTATATAAAGATCATTTTGATTTTGTTTAAAGATACCCTAAAAGTTTGCAGGCATTTTACAAATCTTGTAGTGAATGTCAGCTTCCTGACCATAGGCTACCTTGTCTTATCTTCCTGATTTAAAGCCTTTAGAAGTACCACACACCCTCAGTTAATATTTATAAATAAAACTGTTGACCACAGCTTATTTATTTATTTTATTTATGTTGACCACTTCTTTATTTATAAAGAGCAAGTAAATTCATTTCTGCTTTGATTTCAAAACAGAATCTTTGGCATCTTTTGAAGAACCAAACAAAAGAGCATTTTCACATCAGTAAATCCTATGAAAATTTGAATACCTGTAGCTGCAGGAAAGGTTTCCCATGGTGCTATTTCTAAAGCCTCCACAGAACAAGGTGTATTTGACTTTTCACCCTGTTTGTAGTAAGTATAATTTTAGGACTCATTATTCTAATGATAACCTGACATGTTATATTTTTTCCTTAACTGTAATTAACCAAAATTTGTCTCCAATTATTAGATGATCATCCTTCTAAAGTAAACAAAGTATTTTGTTGAGCATCCCCAACAACACCACTGAAGCTTGGATGTCAGTCAGTGATGGCTGGTCTGGGGACATGAGTGGACAAACCCTGCAGGCACTGGGGTTCTCCACAGAGCTTCTTGCTGTGGCACACAGGCCAGCATGTTCAGGGCCAAGAAGAGGTTGACGAAGTTGGTCCCACGGCTCGGTGAGATCTCCAGCAGGGAGGGCATAAAGGGAGAAGAGAGGGAGGAGCTACACTCAGCAGAAGCACAATCTGAAATACCTGAAATCCAGGTGGCAGCAAGGACATGAAGTCTGCAATAAAGAGATGGAAACTCTGACTTCTTGGAGATACTATGAACCTGGAAAATGTGAGACTTGTCAACCTAGAAGAGAGATGAGTAAGGTAGTAGTGCAAGGAATCTGTATTACAAACTTGTGAAACAAGGAGTGGCATGGAGAGAGGTAAGAGAGAACGGTTAACTAATGCAAACATGATGGGACATCATATGGAAATACCAGACAGAAGGCATGGAACATACAGAAGTGATTTCCAACTAGCATGAACATAGACTGTGGAAAGATAACAAGCTGTAGATGCTGGAAGCTTATAGAACTAAGAAAGCAATTGGATTTCTTTTCCATTGTCTACCAAGAGCAGAAACAGGCTACTTCTAGCTAAAGGTCTCGAAGTTGCACAAGTCCTCATCTTCCCAGGAGATGGCCAGTGTTGAGAACAGCATTGTGCTCTACCTCAGGCATTGCTCTCATCCACTGTGGCCATTCCAGTGCTTTAGCTGGCTTAGGCACAGGACATGCTTCCTTACCCACCAGCAGGATACATCAAGGTAAATCTACACTCAATTCAAAATCTAAGATGATAAGAAGTACAAAATAGCTGGAATAAATGAAAAGTAGATTTTCTTGCCTATTTACTGTTTATGGCAAAGATTTTAAAAAGAGGCTGTGTCAGTGTTGTAGTTAGAAAAAAAATTGTTCGGCAAGTCAGTTTGCCGAACCTTTTCTATCTATTTAGAGAGGTTAAATCAGAAAAGTAATCTGCACGAAACAGATACGTGTTTGTATCTGGGCATCTTGTGCAATCCAGGTTCTTTTACTAGTGATGATGTGACATTAAGAATGTCAGGAAAATTAATCCACAAACACCAGAAGTTTATGTCCAAAAAGGAAACAGAGGAATCCTTTTACTTTATTCAAATAAAGGGAGAGGCCATGGGGCATTCCTCTGGGGTCTCTCGGTTTTTGGAGGACACAGTCTCCTTTTTATCGTAATTTCCCAGCTGCATGTCCCTTCTCTCTTTCTCCATTGGCTGAGGTACCTGACAGGTACAGACTTCCTGGAATGCCTGATACCTAAGACTCCCCTCTAATGCATAATCCTACCTCTTAATTTTTAATTCTTATGGAATTTATGATCTTTCCTGATTGTTTCTTTCATCTTTCAATATCCAGTTTCATTTATCAGCAAACCTACAGTTTGTCTGTAAAGGCAAATTTCTTTTTTCCATTCATCAATCAGTGGAATCCTTCCATTGTTTCTTTTATCTCTCAGTGCTAGTTTTGTCTACTAGCAGACCCACAGCTTGTTTGTAAAGACATATCCGTCATTCCTCTCAAGAAAAACAATAGGGTTTGAAACAAAATACAACAAAGTCACAGTATAACAGACCGCCCCAAGTGTCATATAGTCCAAAGAGAGTAAATCCCACAGTGATTTGGCTCAGCCTCTATCCAAGGAAGTGATGTGCTTTTTTGCTTCTCTGAGAATTATTAACTATAACATCCACATTGCATGTGCAGTTGTTGCCAGAACATTTTAGCCTCCTGCAAGGTGTTGACTTTTATGGAAGCAAACTTGTTACCTAATATAGCAATGGCTATGTAATATATGCCAATTTTGTTTTTTCACTCTTTCCCACTCCATATGGAGCAGGGGAGGATCCTGCTGGAATTCTGTTCTGCACAGATGAAGCATGGAATGTTTCCTCTTCCCTTACAGACTATTAAGAAGCAGCATCAGAAGTAAGTTGTTTCGTGCCAGTTCTCTTCTGAAGAAGCCTCAGACTCCAAAAACTTTAAAACCATCTGGCAAACTCTTGCCTGAATTATATGCGTATTCGTAGCCTCTGGCTTTTTTAACTGCACTGTGAGTAATCCCAGTCGCTCTAGTCAGCACTGCTGCTGAAACCTGTTTCTTGTGTTCTGAATATAGACCAAAGGGGACTCCGACGGGACCTGGTGGTCTCCAGACAGGGAGGAGGCAAAACTGGGTTACAAACCTCTGAGCTGTCTGTTCCAGCCTGAAAGATCCGGACTGGCGGTCTTGTGGCTTCCAGCTGGAGCCTGCCCGGGAGGCTGTGCCCGGGGGTCGGGGCTGGGGTTACTGGACTGCCTTTTGCCGTGTGCCCGTAGGTCGGCCTGCTCCGCGGCCTGTTCATAAGCCTCAGTGGAACTGTAAAAACCCTCGCAAAAAGGCCTCGCTAACCGAGCTCTGCCCGAAGCCTGGGGTCCCGTGAGGGGGTGCCCTCACGAGCCTGCGAACCCCGGAGTCACCAGTGCGTGCGTCGGTGGCCCTAATCGGGGCCCTAGGCTCGGGTCCGCGGCCACTCCCGCTACCTCCTAGGCGCGTCATGGTGGCGGAGGGAGGGAGGGAGGATGGAGCAGCACTGGTGGCGGCGGCGCGAGGCTCGCTCCACCCCCGCACCCTCAGCCATTTTAGCAGCCGGTACGGCCGCCGGTAGCGCTGTGATCTCCACCGGCAGCGCCGGGGCTGGGCACGGTGAGTGCAGGCTCAGCGCGGGGGAACGGCTGGTGAAGGGACAGGATGAGAAAGCTGGAATGGAGTGGGGTGAGATAGGATGGGGCAGTGCTAGTCCCGCCCTTGCTGCCCGTCGTCAACATCTGGGGAGGGTCGCCCCGCGCACGAACAGGGGATGCGGGGCTGGCGCTGCCCCTGACGCGGGGGCCCGCGGGGGCTCCCGCCGGGGCGGAGGCGGCCGGGTCAGCTGGGGAAGGGCGAGGGTTACGCGGGATCAGGTGCGTCCCCACAGCCGTGGCTCGGGGGGGGCGCGCCGAGAGGATGCGCCGGAGCTTGGCGTTCCGGTAAGGGCGGGCTGGAGCTCCCTCGGCCGCTGCCCGGAATAGGTGGCGGCGCGGAAAGGCCTGGAAGTGCCGACGGTGGCGGGGGGGAGGGGTCGGGCGAGCGGCGAGAAGCACCGGGCCCCGCCCTGGGCCGGGGCTCCGCTCTGGGATTTCCCCGTAGCTCAAAGGCAGCGCCGTCGCCTCTAGCTGTTCCCTGTCTCGCCCGTAGCCCGCGGGGCTGAGCGCGGTCACTCCCGGACCCGCCGCCCGCCACTTTCCCGCAACGCGCCGGGTGGGACCTCATCCCCGGACGCTCCCTGGGTCAGCCCGGGGCCTTTCCCGGTTCTTCGGCGGCGCCCTGGCCTCCCCCGGAGCCCCCCGGCCCTTGAAGCCCCCTGCCTGGATGCAGGGGAGGAGGCTGAGCTGAGGAGATGGGCTGATGCTGATCAGGAGAGGTGATTCACTGCTCAGCGCATGCTTCTCTGCTCCACGTCACAAAAACACCTGTTAAAGGAAAGAAACTGGCTGAATATTTTTGTTGTCCTGTTCCTCTGTGATAAATTTTGCTTTTTGGTGTTCTAGAACATTCCCTTTGTGGATTTCTGAAGCTTGTTAGAGAAGTGCATGTGCACTGCCTGACTCCCTTGCCCTGGCTGCACAGACCTCTCCTGATGCAGTGCTGCTGTTTGCCCAGTCCCTTAATGAAATAATTGTAGTATATACCTTTATAGCATATAACATTTGGGAAAAAAAATAAATGTGAGACATTTATGTTAGGAAAAAAAGGAGTGATAGGACAAAATATTTCAGTGAAGATGTTCAGTAAATACAGAGGTTACAGAGAGCTTTGGTGTCAAGGAATGTTTTATAGAAGTTAAATGGACAGTTAAAGTCCCTTATGGTGGTAAAAGATGATTGTCAGGGTAAGGATAATGTTGGTCCTTGCTTGGGTACTCTTTGCGTCTTGGATTGTGGCATAAAAATAAGAATATTATGTATGTTGTCATTTACTATTATAGACAAATTTGCAATTGTAGCCTTGCCAATTTCAAGTGCAAAAATGAACAAAGAAAGCTACAGGTGGACCTTGGAAACATACAGTGTTTTTTCTTTAATTTCTGCTTTTTGAATCTTTGGAATTTGTCATCTCAGACTAACTGCAGTGATTAAAGACATGGATTTTCTTTTTCCCTAAGATATGTTTAAGATTTTAATGTCTCCAGTCCTTACACCCAATTAAAAGAAAGGTAGCAAAGTTCCGCAGTCTCTTGACAGGATGTTTGGTTTAATGTTTTATTTCTTCTGCTCTTTGTGCATGGATACAAAGTTTGTATTTTAATACAATTCTACAGAAGTCTTAAATATTTCCACATAAAAGTTATTTTGGAAACTATTTAATGCATTTTTAACATAGCTCTCATTTTTTTGTATTTATCAGTTCTTCCATCGTTGTCTTAAATGACAGAATTGTATAAACTTGAAACAGACAATTTCCCCCGGGACCCTCCTATGGTGGACAGTTTCAGGAGGTGTTCATTATTTAGGTGTTTGCATCTCATGCACACTTAGCTCATGTGTTACCTTTAATGCCCTCTGGAACATGCACTGCCAGTGACGGTGCTGCCCATTCACTGCTCATTGAATAATCCAACAGCAGCAGCTATAAACTTTCAGCATAAGAAGTTAGCAGAGTTCAGCAGATCACACCTTCTCCTAATGCAAGGGTGATGCTTCAGTCCTTTTATAAAACTAGAGAAACCACTTCTGAACTAACTACTAAGGCAAGGCTTTGCATGCAGATATATGCCAGGTGATGTTATGATATAAAACTAATAAAATAGGCACAGCGTATTACACTGTTTTAAATTAAGTTAGTACTCAGATACCAAACAGTAGCCTGAGACAAGTAAACATGCAAAATATATTGAAGTTAATGATAAATAGAGTTAGGTAGTTAATATGACAAATTAATGAGTGCTCTTTTATAAGAAAACCCTTCTGAGTAAGGCGTTGCTTAAATTAAAAAAGAGCTGGAGTTAATCATAACAGGAATTTCATTGTATACTCAAGCGTGTGGTCACTGTGGTCATTTGTTTTCTCAGAAGAGAATGAAGTTGAATAGAAGGAGGAAAGCAATTTCCTGAGAAACAGAATTTACAGTTTTGTTCTGTTTATTCCTAGATTAGTTTGTTATTTAGATGGTACAACATCTTCAACCTTTTTTGTGGAAGGCCTATCTCAAAAGTTGTCCCCACTGTTTAATTTTACTACCTTCTGGAGTAGCTGCAGAGTGACTGCTTCGGTGTTCATCTTTGTTCCATAGTCTCCTCCTCTCCTCCCTGTAACTGGGATTGCTGCCCTTCGCATTTCCATTTGGAATAGACTAGCTGTATGGAAGGGAAGGCTTAAGAAAGTTTTTCTCCTCTGTTGGTAGAGCTGTGTTTACAGTGGATAGGGATTATTTTTGCTGTTTGCAACTTTGCTGTTGTTTCATTGTTTTTTTGGTTGGGGGAGGGGGAGGGAAATTATGATTGCCTGTAATCTGCTGATGCACCTTGAGCTGTCTCTTTCTTCAAAACGTTGAGCTCTGTAGGTAGACACGTACAAATGAAGAGTTCAGCACTGGTTATTCCTTCTGTAGCCACTCACTAAGGGTAACTAACCTGTGTTATGCTGAAAGTAAGGCACACTGAAGGGGTGTGACAGGTTTCTTCTATGACCTGTGGTGCCCGTGGATGGGCAGCCTAGCAGCATCAAGGCCCTCTCTCAGACTGCTTTGTGGTGTGGGTGGTGTGTGGGGAGGACCTAGCCTTCATCCTGGACACGCTGGAGCTGTGAGCTGGTTTTGCTTGTTTTATATAGACATGAGCTAAAAGACATTGTTTGGAAAAAGGTTTGGACAGTGGCCAGCATTGCCTGTGGTTTCAGTTTCCTTCTCTGCAGAAAGTACCTAGTGTGATCTGCATTGGGATCAACAAAAATGGTTGGGCCGAACATAAATAAGCTACAGCAGCTCTGCTTTCCCTGCCCCACTTCTTACCAGGGTTATCAGTTCCTACCTAGCACTGCATATGAAGTGCACTTATAATCAAGATACAGCTTCGATTGGGTGCTAGGTATTCATAACATTATTTACCTGACCAAGTGTGTGAGACAGAGGTTAGGAATGAGCAGTGGGGGTGGAAATTCTTCATGCTGTTGTTTCCCTAAACAGGCAGCCTGTCTCCTGTTTACTGTGCTGCTGCTGGCCTGTGCTCCCACAGCCTAGAGTAGCTTCTGAGTCAGGACTGACCTGGGGCTGGCATCTTTTTTACTGTGAGAACTGTGAGATACTGGCATAGGTTGCCCAGGAGGGCTGTGGGTGCCCCAACCCTGGCAACGTCCAAAGCCAGGTTTGGATAAGGCCTTGAGCCTGCAGAGCTTTGTTACAAGGAATGTGAGTGCAAGGCCTGATGGTACACTTGTCTGGAGACTTATTTAAGATGATCCTAAATATAGCAGAAAATTCAAAGGCATGTTGAACAATTTTTTAGTAAGGAAATAAACAGCACAGGCAATGTTGGGAAATGGAGGAACAGAGCAAGCAAGGAAAGATGACTGTGGGCATGGGACTGGAAGCAGTGTGGGAAGTGTTTTCCTTCAGCCAGCATGTTGCCAGATTGTCAGTTTGTACAGTGGCTTATTTTTAAAGTTTGAGTGCATGAGTTGGTTAGGATGGATGTGAGGTCAGAGCAAATGCTGCTGCTTCAAAAAGTCAGTGTGTAGTTTATTTTCTTTACATTTGGATTAATAGCCGTGTAATGTGAAGGATGTGAAGAATTGTTTTCCTTTTCTTTTTGCTTTAGATAGAACTAAGCACTTAGACTTGCCCCTGAAATCAAAGGGTACTTTTGACCTCAGTAAAGTGGTTTTAAGGAATCCTAGATAACGAGAAATTATTTTCTTTAAAAAAATTTTTGCATGGGTTTTATAGTACAGTTAATTCTAAATCAATGGCTATTGTATGTCCGTGTGTTCACCAGGCTTCAAGATGAGATATCTTTATCTCCAAGTGTCCTGGTTTAGAACAAATTTGGGAGAGAACCTCCAAATGGGGTCTGTCCAGAAAACAAATTCAAATTGCCCCTCCCCCATCTGCTTCAGGAAAAGATTTCCTTGGAGAAAAGTGGGAAAAAATTGTTAATTTAACAGAATTTTAATAATATTAAACAATAAAACCTCTCACTATTCAATGAGATGGCAATTTCAGAAAAAAAAGTCCTTTTCATGGGATGTAGCTCGGCTCGCTCAGGTTCTTATCAGTCCCTCCAGCACTGGAAAGTGCAAAGGCCCAGGCCCTGGTGTGCCACAGGCTTGAGCACCTGGGGTTTGTCTGGGTTTTCAGTCCAGAGCAGGTTTGAACAGATCCAAGGAAGAGGGAAAAAAGCAGTCTGGGGAACTTCTCTGCCTCAGCTAGCTAAAAACTAACTAAAAGCAAAGGAGAGCTCTGTCCCACAGTCTGTCAGTGCTGCAGACAACACAGTCCAGGAGCAGGATGCGGGGGAGTGAGTGCTCTTTCTCAACACAAACTGCGTGTGTCTTCTTCCCCCACTTTGGTCTCAGAGCCAGTCTTAAATGTGCAGAACTTTATATGTAACATAAACCAGGCAACTGGGGACACAAGCATCATAAAGCCACCCCAGGACACCAAGGCAGAGG